GGTTACTTACACCGGCTTCATTTTTAGTAAAAGCAACACAATATTTGCAATACGCACCTTTGTTTACTTCTGAATAGGCCAACCAGGGAGAGTTAATTAGCCATTTATATTGAAATTTCAACTTCAAAACTTTTTGTTGTTTACCGACTACTGATATTTTGATAGGAAAATTGTAATTAATATCAGAGACCCAAATTTTGCTCAAAATTTCTTCTATTTCACTTTGCGTTAACAATTTATTTGTGTAATGTGCAATGTCAAAAATATTATAACTGGAAGATGTACGATTAATATCTGTAGTCGAAGGTGTAAACTGAGTGATAGGTGTATCAGATGCAGATGCAGTTGATGGTAATGAGGAACTAGAGGAACTTATAACTGTTTGAGTTGCATTCAATGAATTTGACAATGAATTCATTATTGAGGGTGGTTTCGAAAAAAAAGATTGCAGTTTCGATTGTTTTTTTTCAGCCATGATTACTATTTATTTTACCTTCAAAACCTAAAATATATCGAAATCGAATGATAATGATTATGTGATAATAATAATTTTTAACTTAACTACTAATTTACTAAATTTATTTTTTAATCAACGTTAAATTTACGAATTAATTTTTTTATTTGTAAGTTAATTTATTTTGTTTTTCATTTTTTTACATTTCATTATTTGAGTCTATTTTGTTGCCATATCAAAATTTCAATAATATAGACATAATATTATGATATAGTTTGCAGACACTAAAATCTAAAAATAAACAAAAAAAAATAAATCAATTACCTATTGATTTTATGATTTTACGGTTTTGTGAGATTATTAATTATTATTAAAAATTATTATTAATAGTATTTACGTTGATAGTTAAAACATTAAAATTAAAAATACCTACTCATCGTATTATGATGTACCCAAATAATATCTGTTTGAAAGACAACTAAAATATATAATACTTATTTATTATTATTTATTACTTATTACTTATGCGATAGGTAACTTCTGTACTTAAAAATACAATATATACTATATCAATATGTGTATGCATATTAACTTAACTGAGTTAAAAAAAAAAAAAACTTAACTCGCCCAGTCTTGTGTGTTTATAATGAGTCGGTCGAGATAAAGACAATATTAATATGTATTTATATCCGCACGCAACTAACTGACTGTGTACGATCAAAATAATGTCTATTTTGATTGATATACCATATAATACGGCACCCATAATTTCGTTATGAAATCTTTTTCCGTTGTTGGTTAAGTATAGTGTTTACTGTTTACTCAATAGTCATATTATTATGACGTATATTTGTGTATACACGGTTGATTAATAATAAGAAATTCATCAATAATATCAAATTATTTTTTTATTTTTTTTGGTCCTGGGGGGGGGGTTTGGACCCGACCCCCCCCCCCGTATGTACGCCACTGTACCTAACTGATGAAGATTAATTACATTTTTTTCTATTTTGTTAGGATATGGAAATTGCCAACAATAAATTAATAAATAAAACTAGCTGATTCCTTGCATTTCGTTGCCCGTTAAATGTACCAACTCTATATGACTGAAACTTTGTTAAATTCGTTATTTAATATTCGGTGTATGATGTTAAAAACTTATCTTAACTTTTCAGTTTTATTTTAAATATTGTCATTAGATACGTCGGTTAGTAATAACAATACTAAAACCTCCGAACAAATAATAAATTTTTTTTGTTCTTTTTTAGTACGAATGCGGTGACACGAGACGTGGTTGTAATAATATGTAGCCCTGGTAACATAAAATGGGTTTGCTTATGGCATTTGTGTAACTTGAATACAGATAATATATATAAGTTATTATATAAATTATTATATATATATTATAATATACTATAGTATTATTAATGATAATATTTGAGCACTAGAAATGTTTTTATCACTACCTATGTATAATCACACATTTAATTATTATCACTTTCACGACGATCGTCTTGCTGTCGGGACGTGCTCACATTGTAAATACTTATTATTTAAATATAAATACATAAGTAGATTATTATGTGTGATAAAACCATGTTAAAACTTAGTTTACACACGGCTTGCTATTAGTTGAATGTAAATGTGGGTTCTAACATTAGTTGCATCAACTACACTTGAATAATATAGAATATTCCGTTTTTATTAATTATATATAGTTTTTGCTGTCATAAAGAAATGCTGAAATAATAGTTTTTATGGTAACTTAATCATGTACTTTTATATACTTATAAATCATTTTATACCATAAAATTAAACTTTATGGTATTATAAAGTAATTTAAACTTACCAAGTTGTGTTTTATTTTATTTTTAATGCAATATCAAATGAAAAAAGTGACTAATTAATCTTAAAAAGAAAAAAATTTATTTAATTATTTTTATTTTTATATTTTTATAAGTTAAAATATGTGCATTCCAACATGATTTTTTCATATAAAACAATAGTTGTTCAAGTTTGCGAAAATCGAGGTTAAATCGGGACAAGCATATTTTTTTTTTTAAATGGGAAGGGGGGAATCAAAAAAAAAACAAAATATGGTTCATATAGACTAGGCCAAGCCAGAATATTTGTTCCTACCATTTTTATCATATTTTGAAAAATTATCAACGCTTCATCTACCTAGTTCAAAAGTGTCCTAAGTAAAGCCATTTTACGGTACGTACTAGGTACCAGGTTCACAGGAAGTTGGTAGTCGCTTCTCTTGTTCGGTTCATCGGAAATGTGGTCCGGACCCCTTACCAACCGTAAATACCTACGTTACTGAGAGAGCTAGAGAGAGCCGTGGACGCCGGCCATCGCATGGACACCGTGGAGTGTGAACGACTCGTCACGAACCTTTCACGCCGATCACTCGACTTGGAAAGCTTTTGGAGTTGGTCAATTCGGCACGAATTCAGCTACGTTCAAATACAACCACTAAATGTTAGTTTCTAATACTTTTAACTTCATAGTCAAAATTAGAAAACAAATGTTTTCAAAATCATTTAAAAACATCTTATAACATTCAACGATTATTATTTTAAATAAACTGGCATTTAAAAACTAAAAAGTACGTCGTTAATAACTAATAAGGTGGCCAAATAAAGGCAATATAATCATTGTAATCAATTGTGTCAATGTGTCATACATTTTCCAAAAAATATAACATTTCAAAACAATTTGGAACCTATCTACTTTTTAAAATAAAAAGCGGTCACCGTGAAAAAAATTGCCCTGGATAAATAATTATCATGTTCTATACTATACATTTTTATTTAAAAATAGAAAAATTAAATTCACTGGTAATTATAACTGAATTAATTTTAAGTAACTTCAGTTAATTACTTAAATCCAAATGTTGCTTAACCATTACATAGTCACAAATTCCATTAATACTAAAATCATATATATATATATATATTGTACACAATACGTCTTGTGATTAAAAAACGAAATAGTGGTAGGTGTCTTCTACATGAAAATAATTAGAAATAATGCTATCATAAAATTAGCTTTGTAAAATATTTACATTATTTCAAAAACTATATAATTAAACCATATTGTAATTTATGCTATATATCAGTAATATGGAAATGTACTGTTTGCATACATACTGATATGGGTATAAATGTTAACAGGTATTAAAATCCTTATCAAAAGAAAAATAAAGTTATGAAATTCTATAAAATATATTATATTATTATTATAATAACAAAAAAGCATAGGAAAGACACAAATACACAATTTAACTAAAAGTCACAGAAATAAATAAAAAAAGTCCGTTTGGTATTAAAAACACAAAATATTGAAATATTTTGATATTAAAAAACGTAACACATCAAATAATGACAAAAATAATATTTAGAAAAAAAGCTGTTTCAGGAAACTCTATCGTATATTCTAACGAACCTCTCAGGAAAATTAAAAAAAAAAAAAAACATTTCATTCGACATAACCAATCAAGCATAAAAATATTAACAATTGATAATAAATAATAACTTATACATCTGTATCTACTAGTACGTATAACGTATTAGAGTCTGGCTTAATATGACACGGGCACCATTTTGTAAATGGTAGTATAAAGAATGGTATTATTAGTTATAGGGCCCGCTACTGCCGTCATTCTTAGCTCAAAAGACATTGAGTTTTGACAAAATTAAAGTTAGGTTACTAACCTGGGTAGCATAATTAAAAAGGCACAGTCTGTGCTGCCATGCTGGGATATCTACTAACCTCCATAGTGTAACGTGCCAACCACTTCAACTCAGTTTTGATTGTATTTTGAATAAAATAACAAGTTGATGGTATAATGATAGTTTATTTGTATTTTATTTAACACGTAAAATAGTCCAAATAATTAACTTATAATAATGTGGTAAACGAGATGTGACTTAGTACCTATCGACTTGGTGGCTGCTCTGCTGGTGCTCGTCTACTCGGCTGGTGTTCGTCTGCTCGGCTGGTGTTCGTCTGATGGACACTTGTCGCAACTTGATCGCAACATAACAATATTTTTGTATAACAACATTTTTGTTTTCGTAACATAACAGTTTCATTTACATAACAATATATAATATGTTTTTCATCTGATTTTTAAACATAATAACATAATAATTAAATTTTTGGTTAAAACAATACTACCTTAATAATTAATACAATAACATACTATATTACTATAGTATTGAATACAATAATATTTTTCATGTTAAGTTAAATGTTATATATAATTTATATTTCATAATCTCCAATAGGATTACAGACCAGTATATTTTAATAAGTGCGTGTTTAAATTTATCTTTACTTTATTGTTAATAATCATTATTTTATTGCACTGGCATAATTTCAGTAATAGTAATTTACTATAACAAAATGTGTATTATCCATTTTGTATGTCACATGGTTACTGTCTTACTAAAGGTCGAGTGACCATGCTCCAAACCAAACTTCAAACGTACTTTTGTAAAAACTGTAAAATAATTCCTTTTGTTAACCAGGGAAATGACTAATTATAATTATAACGATTATTGTTATTAAAATTATTATTCCGCCTATTAGAATTACTGGTATCCCCGGTGGAGTTGTTTACTTGTCTACCTGAACTATTGCCTCCATAATATTGGTATGCATCTGACTCAGACTTAATTTCAGTCTCTTCGTCTTTAGCAACCTGGATAGCTAATTCTAAAGTGGGTGGTTTTTGAGATTTCACGATGGTCTTTAAGCTAGGTATTAACCCTTTAATGAAAACTACCAATGTCTGTTCCTTTAACTGATCGTGGATTGTATCTGCCTGTTCTGTAGTTTTACCTTTTGTACTTGCTACACATATATTGCAATATAACTGTTCTACACTACGCGCATATGCACCTACGTCTTCGTTACTTCGCATGCATACAAAATTTAATGCCACTTGTAATGACGATGTCGATTGTTGTGGTTCGAATGCATCTAACAGAATTAATTTAATACCTTCCCAATCGCTAGTGTCCCTATATCGACATACATTTAGAGCTTGGTCGAACAGCTTGGTATTAATAAATTTCGTAAGTATGGGTAGGTCTTCCTTTTCTACGGCTGAACAAGCCAAATCGCAAGCTTTCATGAATTGGTACACGTCCCGTTCGCCGGTACATGTGGGAATCATGAGTGTGGCTTTGTCTAATGGAATTTTTCCTGGCATTTTGGTTTTTCTGTTTCGTTTAACGGGTTCTAACTGCGTATGTACTATTCCTTTCTACGTACGAGTTCCTATTTGTCGTAGCTCGGTTTCATTAACTATTATCGGTCGTATGCTTGTATTCAATAAATCCTTTTCCCTAATAGCTCTTAAGTATTTTTGTTGTCAACTGGTTCGTTATCAGTTTCCTTCGAACTAGTTGTAATTTATTCACTATCCTCGTTATTAATTATATCAGAACTTGTTGATTTAATTACTACTACTTCCCTAGTTTCCTGATCTATTAATTGTACGCTTCCAGATTCACTTTCAGTCAAACTAGTATTATTATCTTTCTGAATCATTAATCAATAGTCATAATCACTTAATTTAATAATGTAAACGAAAACAGGATTAAAGTGTAACTGACACACTAGTGTAAAAAAATTTAAATCGTACACAATAATTAATTCTCTAATGAATTTTAATGAAATAACTAATAACTAAACTACTAAAGTGCGTAAAATAAACAATAAATTATTAATTAAATAACAAACAATCAAAATAAATCAGCAACAATTAACAATAGATAATTAATAACAATCGTTACTAATTATTTACAATCAACCCGATTGCTTCAATACTTCAATTCAATTTAATTACTTAATAATTTATTTAAAATAAATAAATTAATAATAAAAATTTGACTTAACTTGCCTATCTTAGATTTAATTTAATTTAATTAATCAGTACGATTTAAAATTAAATTTTAATTTAACTAGTTACTCTAAAATTTTCTTTTTTTTGTTTCATTCAAATTAATCAGCCAATACGACATCTGTTTTAAAAAAAGTAACTCTTATTACTGTATTAATCGAATTAAAATTTTCTTTATAAATCAACCTACTACTTTCAACACATAAGGACTTATTTCGGCCTTGTAAAATAAAATTCAAAATATAGACTCACTGTCTTCAAATAATTCACAATAACAGGACTTACTTCACGGCCTTTAAATAAAATTCCCAATTACAGACATCAGTTGTCTCAATAAAATTCACAAAATATAAGGACTTACTCCTCGGCCTTTAAATAAAATTCACGAATACAGACATCAATTATTGTCTTAATTAAATTCACAAAATACAAGGACTTACTTCACGGCCTTTAAATAAAATCCCCAATAAATTCTCAATATATATTCACCAATATATTCAACAATAAATAATTAACCCCCATTTTATTAAAATTATTATTCAATAATAATTCTTAAATTATTATAATAATCAGTACGAACTATTTCAATGAATTACTTCTAGAATGGAAACTGTTACCTAGTGAAGACGTCCTAAATAATTTCAACTTTAAATGTTAATTAATTAATAAAATAATTTTTTTTTTCAAATTAATTACTATCTGAAATAATTAATTAAATAAAACAATGCCTTTAATTATTCGTTCTCTAAATAACTGTATTGAATTTCCATTGTATTTCAATAACTATATTTATTCCTAAAATAATTTTATTATTCTATAAATTATTAATTGACTCAAATTATTATAATGAGCAACACAATTGAATTCTGTAACGTGCCAACTACTTCAACTCAATATTGATGGTATTTTGAATTAAAATGACAAGTTGTTGGTATAATGATAGTTTATTTGTATTTATTTAACACGAAAAATATTCTAAGTCCAAATAATTAAATTATAAAATTGTGGTAAACGGGTTGTGACTTAGTATCGACTTTGTGGCTGTTCTGCTATAGTGCTCGTCGTCTCGGCTGGTGTTCGTCTGATGGACACTTGTCCATCGACGTATTTCGTCGGTTTTCCTATTATATCCCTCCTATAGCATTTTTAGTATATAAATGGTACATAGCTGCGTATACCTGAGGTCATTTCGGGCGTCCTCTACAAAATAATGTTAATTGGGATTATATGTTTTCTCAAAGTTATCTATTTTGTTGTTTACGGCTTTTTGTCTTTCCCAGAATATGGATAATGCGCGCGTTCTATACTCTTATCGATATGGCCGCCCGTACGTTTATATTATTACTATTATTGGGTTACGTGCCCTCTGCAGCATTTATATTTGTAATTGAATATAATATATTATATTATAAGCGCATTATACTCAATACAGCATAATATAATATAATATTTTATATATTATTACTATTATAATATGTACGTAGTCACAGCCCGTTACAATTCGATAATCTGATGCGTAAAATAGAAATGGTTCAGCTTAAATAAATTTAAATAATAGGTACAAATGTCTATAATTAATCAATCAGAAAAATTATATTTGAATATGAAAATTACAATTCCGAACAATTAAATTGTTTAACTAAACGATTAAAATTTATTAAAATTATTATTTTAATTTACTTAAATGATTAAATTAAATTGTTAAATTAAATTATTCAAATGATTGAAAATTATTTTAAAATCTAAGTACTATTTCTATTTTATTTAAATGATTGAAATTTATTTTAAATTTAAATTTATTATGTTAAGTTAAAATTGAATTATTAATTTAAACTATTTAACTAATTGGATAATTTTATTGTAAAATAAAATTATTATTTTAGATCATTAAATGATTGAAAAATATTTTAAGTTAAGTTATTATTTTAAATTATTTTAATGTTAATGAATTTATTTTATTAAAATGGTTAAAAAGTTTTATTTAAATTAAATTATTATTTTAATTTAAATGATTTAATAAATTTATTGTAAATAAAATATTATTATTTTATTTTATTTAAAATTGACTTAAAGTACTGAACAATATCTATCTTACTCTATTAAAATGATTGAAACACAAAATACCTGAAAATAAAATTCTTATTTAATTTAATTTAAAGTTGAAAACATTTTTTAATTTATTTAAAATAACTGGCCACGTTATTTTAAAATAATTTATTATTTTATTCAAAAGTTAATTATTTTAATCCTCGAAAAACCATCGATTTATTTTATTTAAAACACTTGTAAATTTCAACACAATTTCGGTTTGTTGAAATGAAAATTCAATGTTCCTAAAATTTCTTATATAAGTTAACACGACTAGTTTTTTTTCACTTATTATTATATACTATGGTCATGTATATACCATAGGAGACGAACACCGTGATATTAATTACGTAAGCATACTTACAACAACGCAGCTGGTACAGCGGGTGCTTCCATTTGCTCGGTTGAAATGTTGATTGTAGTTGGGTGTTACGTAGTTGTACAGGATTCTATCTCGGAGTTGCTGGAAGGTGATCAATCTCCCAACGGTGATCCAGTGATGAATTTTCCTCCTTGATTGAATTTAGAAGATGAAAAATTTTCAAAAAATGTTTTAATTGTTCTTCAGGTTTCTTCTAAGTATCCTTTTGAGACAACCACAGCGCCAATTTTTTAACGTGCCAACCACTTCAACTCAGTTTTGATTGTATTTTGAATAAAATAACAAGTTGATGGTATAATGATAGTTTATTTGTATTTTATTTAACACGTAAAATAGTCCAAATAATTAATTTATAATAATGTGGTAAACGAGATGTGACTTAGTATCGACTTGGTGGCTGCTCTGCTGGTGCTCAGCTACTTGGCTGGTGTTCGTCTGATGGACACTTGTCCATCGACTTATTTCGTCGGTATTCCTAATAGATCCCTCCTATGGCATTTTTAGTATAAAAATGGTACACGCGCCGCATCTGCCTGAGGTCATTTCTGACGCCTTTTACGAAATGATGTTAATTACGGATTATATGTTTCCAAAGTTATCTATTTGTACTGTTTACGGCTTTTTCGTCTTTCCTAGAATATGGATATTTCGCGGGTATACCTATCACGTGTTCACGCTGTACCATTAATTAGTTCTTATTGATATGGCCGCTCGGATGCTGATATTATTACTATTATCGGGGTTACGTGCTCCCTGCAGCATTTATGTCTATTATTGAGTATAATATATATATTATAATCGTATTTTACCTAATACAATATAAAATAATATATTGTTTAATATATTATTACTATTATTAATATTTACGTAGTCACAGCTCGTTACAGTAGTATAGAAATTATTAATATTTTTTGACATTTTTTTATAAACCACACTCATTGTTTTCAACCTTGACCAGTGATGTATTCGCAATATTTTCTAGGGAATACTCTTAGCACATAAGCGTGTGTGTGAGAGGGGCTTTGCAGTGGGCTTAGTCCCACTATCAAAATGTCATACTTATTTTTGGACAGTCCCTTAACCATATGAAGTCCATAACCGTTATTATAAATGTATAATTATTGATATTTATACCTATGATAATTGTTTATCATTAAACAAATGATAATTTTCCACCAAACGTCTAAATATATTATTAATTAGATGAAGATAAGAAAAAATAATTTTTTTTTTAATAAATTAATATTTTATTTTACTTTTCTATTTGATTAATTTACAATTTCTTTTTAGAGTCACTTGAATTAATTCAAATTTTAGGTGGTAACTCTCTTGTACTGAAATCGCCTCCAATAGGTATAATTAATCGATTACTAACCTTACGTTTTAGTAAATATTAATAAATTAAATAAATTGAGTCAATGTCGATTGATTTAATTTAAATTAAGGTTAATAAATATTTAAACAAAATATTGACAATTTCAAAAATATTAGTATACAAATTTATAAGTATTACAAATTTAAAAATCAATAAAAACAGTTAGTATAGTATTATAAAAATAATAAATAGTCAATACATCTATGGACCGGTCCAATGAATGTGGCTATATCAATCAACATTTTTTAGAAAAAAATTTTATGTTAATCGATGATAAGAATCCGACATCGTTGGTATTATACTGCATCCGTAACTTCTTGACCGCTCAAAATCGACCCGGTGCGTATCGATACACTCCAATGTCTTTCTTGAAATTTGGGAACTTCTTGCGCTTGTTGCACGTGCGCAAGAAAAAACCTTTGGCTAGTCGGTGGGGCGATAGGTGTCGTTATTTCTCTTTGG